GTGCAGAGGTCCTGAGGCGGGGAAGCGTGCAGGTGTGAGCACCAAGTGAGCAGGACCAGGGCGTGTGGCCATCACCTGTCTGCACAGGTGAGTTAGGAATGGCTGCACCGAGGAGGGGACATGCCAGGCGGCTCCTGAAGGACAAACTGTAGTTCAGTGGAGAGAGAAGAGAGGGAAGGAGGGAGCGGTTTGTGCAGCAGCAGGTGCGTTTAGGGAAGTTGGGCGTGTGGGGAAGGGAGACTGTGGAGTCGACAGCGGGGGTGTGCAGCAGAAAACACAGCTAGAAAGATGGATTGGGACCGTTTATTTTATGGGGGATCTTGTATCCAAAAAGAAATTAAATTTTATGCTGTGGGGCAGTGAGGATCCGTCGAAGGTTTTTAACAGAGGAAGGTTGAAAAATCTAACTCGGGTAGCGATGTGCAGACACACATGCTAGGTCCTTGTGAAAGTGCAAGCCCTCTGTCACTGCAATCCCACGTGTGGGCATTTACCTAAGGAAATAGTAATGGACACAGAGATGTGTGAAGTATGGGCTTCATAGCAGTGCTGCTTAAATATTCAAAAATATTAAAGTGTGGTGTATGCATGCAGTAGAATAGTGTGCTACTGTTAAAATGATGGGGGACCATTTATTGACCGACATGAAAACTGTATACAATATAGTAAGTAAGAACTTCACAGCATGATATACACATCATACGATCTCATTTTCTTAAAAGTCACACGCAAACACACATGCATGGGCATTTCTGAACATATTCCAGCATCTTAACGGTGGTTGTCACTAGGTGGGTGGGTTATGTGAGTTTTATGTTTTTCTTCTGATCTTTTACAAAATGAATAATACTATTTTGTATTAAGAAAAAAATACAAAAGAAGAAAAAAACCACTCAGATTATGGTCACGGGGATTTTAGGAAGAGGAGCTGGAATTCCAGGATGGGTGCTGAAGGATATGCGGGGAAAGGATGGGACAGAGAGAAGATTCAACATGACATCCAGCTTTCTGACTTGGACCCCTGGGTGGCTGAATTTTCCATCCGCTGGGATGGAGAGCAGCCGAGGGGAAACAGGTTTGAGTAGGAGGATAAAGAAGCCAGTTTGCAGCATGTTGGTACAGGCGGGAAGAAATGGTTGGCAGGTTGGTCTGGATCTACTGTGAGATGTGAGCTGCGGAGTCGAGCCTGGAGCTCCGTTGGACCGTGATGGGTAGTCGGCGCCGTGGGGTGGGTGACCTCACCTGGGGGAAGCGTGCAGCGTGAGAGCTGAGCCGAGAAGTAGGCCGAGGGCAGGAGCGCGGGACTCTTGCATTGAAGGGTGGGTCATCAGAGGCAGGAGGTCCAGGGTGGTGCTGGAGAAGCCAGACAACAAGAGCTTCGAGAAGGAGGGACCAACCGTCTTGGTTGAATTCCTCACATACTCTTTGCAATGTCTTCCATTTAGCGCTGGCACATTTTGAGTGTGGATTCTGTTTATTTTCACAGAAGACTTGGGCACATTTCCTGGTGGGCGGGGGGGGGTGTGCATCAGGGTTGGGAGAGGACCGGAAACTGCTGCCAGTGAGTCCCCGCTGTGAACACCAGAGAGTGGCCCAGCACTGGAAGAAGAGCCAGTGAACATAAGCTCTCCCACCACCGTTCTCTTCTGGAGGAATTTGGAAGTGAGGGGAGCAACCTCTGCAGGATGAGAAGACGGACTTACTGAGACACATTCACTGTTCTCATCCCAGGGTGGGTGCAGAATTCATGCAGTGCTTTCTGCAAGGAAATTAATATAGGAGATGAATCCATTAATCGCTGCTAGAAATGAAGTGAAAGAAACAAAGAAATAAACAGAGCCCATCAACATGCAGGGGCCTGGAAGGGATCCCAAAATGAGCTGTGCATTAGGAGAGTGATAATTCCGAGCGTTCTCAGCTCCAGTCACCTTGGGGCTGCAGATTGCGCTGCTGTTGGTGCAAGTGTTGGCCCTGGAGCCAGGCTCCCTGTGTTTTAATCCAGGCTCTCATGGGGCATGATGCTTCTGCCCACCATGCCTCAGTTGCCTCATCTGTAAAATGGGAGTACTAAAGTCACTTTACCTGAGTGGGTTGTGAGGATGAAATGAGTCATCACCTCAACATGGGAAAAGCATTTGCACTCAGCATAAGACTTGGGGAGCAGAAACTCCCAGGAAATGCTGTTAATGTGGTCGTTATTATCATCATCATCGTCATCATCCTTCTAAGGATGTCATTAAACTCCACTGCTTTCTCAACCTGGGAATGAAGAAATGGTGGGAAGTTGAGGAACACCAGTTGAGCAAGGATTGACTGGTAGATTATTAGGGGAAACGTCTCAGGCTTGTGCAGGAAAGAATATAATGTAATGTACAGATTTAGAAGCAGATGCATCAGAATAGTTTTCTAAGGTGGGTTTTGAGGTTCTTATGAAATTCAAGAGTTGGACAATGGGATAGTAGAGTGAGTGGCTGGACACATGATTGAAAGACAAGACTGAGGAGAAAGAGGGAAAGTTCAGAAGGGAAAAGGTAAAAAAAACAGCGGTTGTTTTTTCACATAGAAAGGTGGTTGACGTAACACTGTCTGCATCT